AAAAGGATATTAAGCGTTGAAATGAAGCAATAAGCTAATGAATGCAATGAAATATTACCGATACATTCACCGGACATGAACTCAAAACCTTTCGGACATTCACACAGGTGTCTACCGGGTCCAGTATGGACGCATTTCAGTGGCGAAACGCATGGCTCCGATTCAGCACATGGATTTATCTCTACAACAAATATCTTGCGTTTAACTTATCAAGTTTATGATCCCTTACAAACTTATTGTAAACTCATAAGATGTGGAGCCAAAGTTAAATAGAACGCAATGCATGACAATACAATTTCTTCAAATTCCAAAATTCAATGCTTGATTCCATGCTTATAATTACAAAATCGATGTAATGCTTGATTTGAGATTTCCATCTGAATCTGATAATCATTCATTTCTGAATGTATCTCGCAAAAGTCACATTTGGTTATTAGTCTATAATCCACGAAGCGTTCTTCAACTTCAAAAGTTGAGAAGCAAATTTCACAGTGACTAGCGAGAAGTGACCTTGACAAGGTGGTCGAGTTCTCAGCGATTCCACAGTAACTGGGAAGTCCGATGTTTCTTGCCATCTGTAACCGTTACGACAAGCACATTGATTGTTCACACAATCTGCGAACTGTGGACATGGGAACGTGGCATCGCAATAGTTCGGATCTGAAACAACACAACAATACACTGTCATCATCAAATAAATCAGTTCAGGGTATTATTAGATGAAAGCTATCAACGAAGAGATGTTAGATGGATGTTAGCGAGTTTGTATGCGATTAGAATGAGGACTGCTTGGTGGAACAAATATGCAAAACGAAATGTTAGAAAACGAAGTAACACTTACGAACACACTTGGTTTGACCAATGGCTACAGCTGTTGGAGGACAATAGCATCTGAAGTATGGATCTTGATCGGTGTTTTCACAACGTCCTGGTAGACATACTGTCGGCAGTTTCTGGCATACATCCTCACCTCAAAAGCTTGTCATATCAAATGTTTTGAGATTTTATGAATCATGCTCGCAGAATCTTCATTGATCACATCATGTTATTTACCTTCCGTATTGCTCGGAGGTGATCAAATGCTAATACACTCATCTAATAGTAAGATGTTAAGTGGAGTGATATCTTTAAGGCACTGTCATCTTTTGTGACGTTCACATCATCCTTCATTATGAATTCCTTGATATGAGTTACCAGAGGTAGGCAATAGAAACCGTGCTTCTTGTTCTACTCGTCACGATAGGGCCACTCACACAAGATTTTAAGAGGCGATTCAAGTTACCCGTGAGAAGATCTGATTAAATTATGTTTTCGGCTATAATTAGCCAGCGGTACATATAGACTGAGTTGATTGGGAAAAAATTTCCTACAAGTGAGCAAAGAAACCTACGTTCACAAGTGGGTCTCAGTGGATGTGTGCCTGGCTTAGCTTTGAAGCCATTTTCACAGACACATCGATATGATGCGAATGTATTCACACAAACACTGTTCTTCAAACATTTGTTACTTCCATCTTGACATTCATTACGATCTGCAACATTTATTCATCTTTGCCACTTGATCACTTCATTGTATCGTTTGAACTTATCCACTCAGCTCATTTCATAGCACTATCGCTTTGAATATTCCAAACGTAATATGCAATTTTACGCATGTGTCCGTTTCACTTCAGCACGTTACCCAAAACACATTTTTCTATTGTTAGTAAACTGCCTCCCAAAATTTCGATGCGTAATATGCAAAGTGTTTTGCAATATTGCTTTCAAATATCAGTGAGAAAATGTTCTCAATGAATCAGTCCATCAAATAAATAGATGTATGTTCGCTGATCAGTTCACAGACCAACACAAGTATCTCCCTCCTTGATGAGACCATATTTACAATCGCATTGATAACTTCCGAGCGTGTTCACGCAAACCTCAATTTGACTATTACAAGCGTTCTCGCCATCTTTACACTCATCTTTATCTGAAATCATCAATCATCAATAAATTCGAATTTCTTCACCAATTAAACATCAGTGACTACTATGAACAGAACGAATATCGTACAGATTATGCGCCTGTATCATCTCCAATG